ACGACCCACCCCCTCCCCTCCCCGCAGCTTGTGCCCTCCTCGTTCCCCTCTTTCTCTTCTCTAAACCCAGCCCGGCCTCACCTTGCAGGTCGCGCTTTTCCTTCCGCTGCCGCCTGGCCAGCAGCTCCAGCGGGTCTCCCGCTTCTTCGCCTCCTTTGGCTTCTCCGACCAGGGCCGGCGGCGAACCCCCATCTTCCCCGGGCCGCTCCATGGCGGCGAGGGCAGCGGAAGACCCCGCCTCTTCTTCCCTCCGCCAGGTCGCGGCCAGCCTGGCTGGGCCCACGTGCAAGGCCCGGCTGCGGAAGCCAGGCTTAGCCCAACCGGAAGACACGCCCTCCCCGCCCAGCGGGCGGAAACCATAGAGATAAGTAGCAGGGAAGGGAAAGAAGGGAGGGAGGGGAAAAAAAGGAAGATAGAGATAGGAAAATAGTTGAGAGTGATCGCCTTTTTAAATTATACCTTCCAGAAAGTCAAAGAAGAACGGGTTCTAGATCAAACGAAGCCTGAATTCTCCCTGGAGGATAAAATGATTAAACAGAGCCTCTGGTATTTTGGGTGTAAGTCTCAAAGCCGAGACTCGCAAGAAAAGACAAAAATGGTGCCAAAAAAAAAAAAATGGAAGGCACCAGGAAAAGAGGAAAACGTAATGCTATCAATAAAAGAAGCCGAGACTTTTAGTTTGCAAGAGCAGGGCAGGACTCATAATAACAGGACTTTTCGAAGGTTATTCAATGATAGGGACGCCTCAGTGCGAAGCGACATTAGAACAAGGGAATGACGGTTTAAGTTTTTAGTTTGTTGCTCTCTGTTCCGTCATTATGTCGATTAACCAGATGCTTCTCCCCTTCTGGGTGCTGCCGCCCAGTCCTATTTTCCACATCGTGCAAATGTTTTCTGCTCTGCTGATTTGCACGTAGGCACGGTTCATTTCCAGCAGCTGAAAAACCTCTTTTCGCGCCACAGTAAGAAATAGTCTAAAAACTGCATGAAGGTGCTTCTGCATCTAATGATCCCCACGGCCACTCGTTCCTATGTCTGTGGAGAAGAAGAACAACCAACAACGCATGGACGGAAAAGAGGCAGAGGGAGGAAACAACGTGCAACTGGGATAGCACGCCACCCAGTGGCTCCTTGGAATATTTGTGCCTTCGCTTGATTGTAATTGCCTTGTTTGTGTTTCCCTGGCTTATCCAGGGGTCCCTAATCTTTTTGAATCCCACCACATGTGAAATTTGAATGAATGTCACGGTGTGAAGCCAGACTCAACTCGGATGGCTAGAAGGGGGGATTAAACGAATATACGGATGAGAAGGGTTATTAGTCATGATGCCCTTATATTGCTTCCAGAACCAGCGTTCCTTTGAATACGGATTTCTGGGATAAACAAACAGGAGGCCTCTGCATGTACCCATGCTTTGCTTTCTGATGTTATTTGAATCGTCCTGTGGGAAGAGGTTGTTGAACTTGTTAGGTCTTTGGTCTGGCCCAGCAGACTTATGGCAGCCCTGACAGAGATTTCAAGGGAATTAGGGTATTTCAGGAGTGGTTTTACCAGTTCCACTCCCCCAGTGAATTTCCATGGCCAAGCGAGAAATCCTCCTGTTCTCCAGAGTCCTAGTCTGTCTCTTTATCCACTACATCACACTGGATATATTCTTAACTGTTCATCAATGCAGTGATGTCTGTGTTGTCACTCAGTATCTGTTTTGTGTATGCCCACCGTTAACACAATGTACACGGTACGTTCTGCATTTTAGTTTTTTCTGTGCTTATTATTTATGTCCCTCATAATCCATTCCTCCAGCTAAAGGTAAAGCTTCCCCTTGACAATTTGTCCACTCGTGTCCAACTCTAGGAGGCGGTGCTCATGTCTGTTTCCAACCCATAGCGCTAGCGTTTTGTCTGCAGACAATCCTCTGTGGTCACATGGCCAGCATGACTAGACATGGAATGTTGTTTACCTTCCCACCAAGGTGACACCTGTTTATCTACTCACATTTCGAACCGCTAGGTTGGTGGGAGCTGGGACAAGCAACGGAGGCTCACTCCATCGTGTGGATTCGATCTTACGACTGCAGGTCTTCTGACCTTGCAGCACAGAGGCTTCTGCAGTTTAACCCACAGTGTCACCACGTAATTCCTCCAGCTACCTGACCACAAATACTTGTATCTCCATATAACACTTAATGGATTTGATGAAGTACGTTCTCATCTTCAAAACCTTGTGCCATTTAAAATGTGTTAGTCTTTCATCTGTCTCTATTCTATTCTACTCGGCACTGCTCATTATTCTTTTGTTGTAATCTTTACATTACAATTCAGATCCCATTACAATTCTGGAAATTATAGTCCTAAAAGCTAATTCATCGAAGTGCTGAATCAGTGATGAGGAGATTCCAGGTGGGTTTCAGCTTTATTTCATAGTCTTGAAAGAATCTGGCCAATTGACAGTTTGAAATTAAACATCTTGACTCTAGCAGTTAGTAAAGATTCAGAAGTACATTTTAAAATGAGAATGGGTAACCTTTCGGAGAGATTCCAGGAGATGTAGAAATCCTCTCATTAATAATGCATCTGCTTAGTGACAGAATAAGATACTTCATCATTGTGTCAGAAATGATAAGAGAAAGACAGACAGAAAGATGTATAATGGAGACCTCTAAGGGCTGAACTAAATGAAAGACCAAGCTCTGCAATCGGATCTCACCCATCCATCAGCTGTCCCTGATACATCTTGGTGGCTTTTGATTACCTTCTCTCTCAAGTATTCAAATCATTTGTGAAGGAAAGAATAGGCTGGCCCTGGCCTTGCTGCTGGTGGACCAAGGACCACCCAAACATTCCAAGACTGGTTATGCCATTAGGCAAATAAAGCAGTTGCCTCAGGCAGTTGAGTAACAAAAAAAAATGAGTAACAAAAAAAGGCAGCAAATTGCTACTTATTTAATTTCTTCTTCTTCCCATGACAGGAAGGAAAAGAAGTGATCAAGTGTTTTGCTAGTTGCCAAAATACACACACACATGCAGTGGCACCTATTAATTCAAAATTAGTAAAGCTCTATGTGTATCTGGGTTTCTCATTAATCCAGGATCTCTTTTCATGTGGATGAGATGCACACCTGTTGATGAGCGAGTGAAGCTCCATCTCATGAACACCACACTCACACACACACCTTGTGTCTTCAATGTCTCCTCCATTTTAAAGGCTTGGGATTGAAGGCTATTGTTCTAAAAATAAGCTTAAGAAGAACAGCAGAAGGATTAAGAAAGAAGTGGCAGAGACACTATATGGAATAGATAATGGGAACTTCACATCAGCTCATGTTTCAAGATAAAAATGAGAAAAGGCTCTCCTTTTTTCTAAATGAAGACATTGTTACCGTAATAGTTGATGTCATGTTAAATCTGTCATAGTATGTATGAGGAACTGTATTTCAGTAGCGGTGGCGGAATGCCCACATCACTCCTGTCCATCATATGGAGTGCATGTGCAGAAGCCTATGATAGGACAGGAGGGGCAGAGTTAGGGGTACAGTTAGACAGCTAGAGAGAAAGGGAGAGTGAGGAGACTGAATTGAGAGAGTTAAGACAGAGATTGGAAAGTTGGAATGTTAAAGAGAATAGGAAAGAGTTAGGAGGAATAGTGAATAGATAGATAGTCAAAGAATATTGTTGAAGTGGATATTGTGAATAAGTATATGCAAGCAAACATGTAATCAAACCCAAGTACTTTAATGAGAGGTCTTAAATAGTAATAAAAGCACATCTGTGATTTACAGATTTACCAACTAAAAGATCAATAAACTTGTTGTATTGGCACCACGTGCCTGAGATACATATATTTGGTATAGTGTGGACTAGATCCACTGGTGGCAGCATAAAAAGAGTAAGCACACCCAGAGGGTGGACCTGAGTGTTTGGGGAGAACAAACAAGGGACACTGAGTAGATGCGACCGTAGCATATGCCAACTTGTTGACACCATGATCTTCCATATAACGCAAAGCTTGTATAGTATTAAACAATGCATTAGAATAAAGATCTGGATTTAAATGAACACTAATATGTGAAGAAGTTTTAAGCCAGGTCAGGGCTGGCCCTACCATTAGACAAACTGAGGTGGCCACTTCAGGTAGATCCTGGGCAATAGTAGGGCAGCAGTGGGATATAGTATGATGGGGCTCAGTGAACTTGTGATGTCAGTCTTGCATTCCCAAAGCTAACCTACAGTTCTCAAGTGTGATAGATAACCTTTTCCCACTGCCAGGATTGAAGCATGATTCACCTATCACTCAGTGCAGCTTCTGTCTGTGGAATGTTGGAGAGACACTTAGGTGGCAAAATGTCTTGCCCCCCCCCCCGACCAAATGCTACCTCATTGCTCCTGAAACTGGAAGTTCTTCCTGTTTTCAAGTTGCAAGTGCCTCAAGCAAAGAGATAGTCAACTAAAAGAGTGATCTCTCATAGGGAGAAAGAAAGGTTCAAAGCCAGGCTGAGATCATGCACTAGAGAAACATTCGGCAAAACAGAGGGAGCAAGCGAAAGAATAATCTGTTACAATTAACTTTAGTCCATAGATCAAGTTGCCATTGATTTTAGAATACAGTAAGAGCCCTTTATTTATGGTATTTATGCTGATTCACTTATCAACGGTCTGAAAAAAAATTTTAATTAAAAATCCTCGAAATATATATTTCTAAACTTGAAGTTACCAGAACTGGCCCCTAGAGGGAGCGAAAGACCATGCTATGTATAGTGGTTGCTATTAAAATAGTTTTCTCTATAATTTCTATTTTTGAGGATCCACTCAAGGGATAGTTGGAATTGAACCCTTGTGGATATGAGGGGGGGGGGCTACTGTACAGGCAGGAAACACAAAGACAGCAAGGAAGCAGTCTAAGTCAGCTCTGCAGGTGTCGTTCATTAGCAGCAATTTACTATTGCAAGTTATGCCATTTTCCTGCTGTGAGTATGTAAAAAGGATTTTGGCCATAATAGTCTTTACCTCAGGCAGCAATATGTCTTGAGCTGTCCCTTTCAGTGGTAAGCTGATATACCCCTGTGAAAGTGCACAAGGTTCTCTACCAGCTGTGGCACTGCAAGTTGTCCCTTAGGGAAAACATGTCTGTCATTAACTGTCCTTCTTAGCAAGGAGTCTTTGGTCAGTTTCCATTCATCGTATTCGGGAAAACCCTTGGATGTTTTGAAGAGAAGAGTGGGCAGTGCCTTTATTAGACCAGTAAAACTGCACCAACAGAAGCTGTTTATTAGCAGTCTAACAGAGGTATCCCCCACTTTGTTTTGGATTGGGTACAAGGCACACACAGC